GAACCAAGTCTTTCTTCAGAAAAATCTCAGGCATCTGTTTTCCTGCAATATATACATATTTTTGACGCTACAATTCCACACTTGATCTTAGCCAAAAGGCCGAGAAGCGATGACGCTACAATTCCTATAAAATCTGGAAGATTGAGAGTTTATTTGGGGATCTCTGAGAAAAAGCCCAAACCAAGAATCTTGTCTGTCTTTGATGATTTCCAGTTCTAGGGAGCTTTACTTACCTATCCCAAAGCCTCATCAATTAAGAGCCTTAGCCTCAAGGTAATGAGTAGTGGCGTGGAGGTGTCTAAGGGGAGCCTGTCTCCTCTAATCCTTTTTAGAAAGTTAGCCTTGCACCCTTGCTGTGGTCCACAACTACTTATGGATTTTTAAAAGGAAAAGCAATCTCACACTTGTCCAGCAGAGGGAGTTCAACAGGAGATACTTTGGAGAGACCTGAGGTTTGGGAGAGTGTTTTGTTTTTTTTTTTTGCTATTCTGAGTTTTCGTTGTTGTTGTTTGTTTTTAATAAAACTCCCTTCTCTTACGCTACACATTCAATCCGAGGAAACCATGCTAGTGCTGCTTACAAAATACATCCAGGACCTGACCAGCCCTCCACACCTCCAGGGCTACTGCTCCTGCCCCGGCCCCTTTCACTTTCTCATCTGGGTAACTGCAGGGACTAGAACCCGCCCTACTTTCACTCACTTCCTTTCATCTATCTGCAACTCAGCAGCTAGAGAGATCCTTTTAAGAAACAAGTGTTATGTGCTCACTTTGGCAGTACATATACTAAAATTTGCACAACACACAGTTTAGCATGGCCGATAAAAAAAAGAAAGACATACCTCATTTTACTTCCTTTTTTTGGGCTAGGGCTGGGTTTGAACCTACCACCTCTGGCATATGGGTTCAGTGCCCTACCCTCCTGAGCCATAGGCACCACCCCACATTATTTTACTTCTTTTCTCAAAATCCTGCAATGGCTTCCCATTTCTCTGAAAGTCAAAGTCCTTGAACCCTTCTTTTTTTTTTTTTTTTTTTTGAGACAGAGCCTCAAGCTGTCACCTTGGGTAGAGTGCTATGGCATCACAGCTCACAGCAACCTCCAACTCCTGGGCTCAAGCGAGTCTCCTGCCTCTGCCTCCCAAGTAGCTGGGACCACAGGCGCCCGCCACAATGCCTGGCTATTTTTTGGTTGCAGCCATCATTGTTGTTTGGCGGGCCCAGGCTGGATTCGAACCCGCCAGCTCAGGTGTATGTGGCTGGCACCCGAGCCGCTTTAGCCACAGGTGCCAAGCCCTTGAACCCTTCTTTACGTGGTCCCCCACTGCCTCTCTGACCTCCTCTCTTTCAATTCTCCCTGGGACACTCTGCCCCAGCCCAACTGCCTTTTGGCTGTGACGTGAACACACTAGGTATGTTCTTGCTCTTCCCCTTTACATCCATGGGGCTCACTCCATAGTCTTTTATGTCTTATTCAAATCTTGCTTTTTCAATGAGGCCCGACATTCCTATTTAAAATTGCGATTATAGGCCCAGGCACGGTGGCTCACATCTGTAATTCTAGCACTCTGGGAGGCTGAGGTGGGTAGACTGCTTGAGCTTAGGAGTTCCAGACCAGCCTGAGCAAGAGCAAGACCCCATCTATAAAAATAGCTGGGAGTGGGTGGCACCTGTGGCTCAAAGGAGTAGGGCTCCTGCCCCATATACCAGAGGTGGCGGGTTCAAACCCAGTCCTGGCCAAAAAAAAACTGCAAAAAACAAAATAGCTGGGAGTTGTAGTGGGCACTTGTAGTCTCAGCTACTTGGGAGGCTGAGGCAAGAGAATTGCTTGAGCTCAAGAGGTTAAGGTTGCTGTGAACTATGATGCCATAGCACTCTATGGAGGGGGGCAAAGTGAAACTCTGTCTCAAAAAAAAAATTAATAAAATAAAATAAAATTGCAATCACATTTTCCCCACTCTTTCTGAACTTCTTACCCTGCTTTATTATTTCTTCCAGAGTACTTAGCCTCTCCTACTATACTGTTCTTTTTTCTTCTTCTTCTTTTTTTTTTTTTGAGACAGAGCCTCAAGCTGTCACCCTGGGTAGAGTGCTGTGGCGTCACAGCTCACAGCAACCTCCAACTCCTGGGCTTAAGTGATTCTCCTGCCTCCACCTCCCAAGTAGCTGGGACCACAGCCCCCCACCCCCACCCCATGCCCAGCTATTTTTTGGTTGCAGCCATCATCGTTGTTTGGCAGGCCCAGGCCGGATTCGAACCCACCAGCTCAGCTGTATGTGGCTGGCGCCTTAGCCACTTGAGCCACGGGCGCCGAGCCTCTTCTTCTTCTTTTTTTTTTTTAATTTTTTTTAGAGACAGAGTCTTACTTTGTCACCCTCGGTAAAGTGCTATAGCATCACAGCTCACAGCAACCTCCAGCTCTTGGGCTTAGGCAATTCTCTTGCCTCAGCCTTCTGAGTAGCTGGCACCCGCCACAATGCCCAGCTATTTTTTTGTTGCAGTTTGGTCAGGGCTAGGTTCAAACCTACCACCTTTGGTATATGGGGCTGGCGCCCTACCCACTGAGCCACAGGCGCCCCACACATCTTTATCTCTTTGACAATTAAGCCCCTTAAAGGCAAGGATCTTTGCCTGTTTTGTTCACTATGGTTAGGACAGGATCTGGCACAGAGTAGATGCTCACTTGGTAAATATCTGTTGAATGAATGAATCAATATCCTTATCCCAACAATTAAGATCTTACAGTTTTCCAATCAATACTATAACTTCATTATAGTATTGGGTGTAGAGGAGAATAAAGAATCAGAGAATCTGGGCTGGCAATTCAGCGTGATTCAAGCCTGATTTCTTGATCAGGACTGCGATAAGGCAGCTGTTAGATCTATTATCTTTTGTCAATTAGACCAGGGCTGGTTAACAGCCTGTCTCTGCACCTTATACTCCATTTTGCTATAAAATCACCTAACGATGTGGTCTCAGTGGACACATGGATTGAGCATCGGAAGACGTTAAGGAAGAGCTTAACCAGCTGCTTCTCCATCAATCGTAAGGACCACCAGCTTCCCTTATTTGTCACACACTCCTCCTTCAAACTCCTCTTCCCAGCTCAGCCAACTCCTTCCGTTTCCCTCAAGGTTCATTATATGAACCCTACTCTGGATGCTCATTTCTACTCTTGTGAGTAACAGAATCCAAGCCAAATTTAGCTTATTTAAAAATAAATAAACTTTGCTGAGCGTGGTGAGCTCACACCTGTAATCCTGGTGCTCTAGGAGGCTCACTTGAGCCCTGGAGTTTTTTTTGCAGTTTTTTGCCAGGGTCAGGTTTGAACCCACCACCTCCGGCATATGGGGCCAGAGCCACAGGCGCTGCCCTTAGCCCTGGAGTTTGAGGTTACAGTGAGCTATGATGATGCCACTGCATTTCAGCCTGGGTGAAAGAGTGAGACTTGTTCTCTAAAAAAAAAGAAAACAGGCTCGGCGCCTATAGCTCAACCGGCTAAGGCGCCAGCCACGTACACCTAAGGTGGCGGGTTCGAATCCCCAGCCCGACCCGCCAAACAACAATGACGGCTGCAACCAAAAAATACCCGGGCGTTGTGGCAGGCGCCTGTGGTCCCAGCTACTTGGGAGGCGGAGGCAGGAGACTCGCTTGAGCCCAGGAGTTGGAGGTTGCTGTGAGCTGTAATGCCATGGCACTCTACCCAGGGGGACAGCTTGAGGCTCTGTCTCAAAAAAAAAAAAAACCAAAAAGGAATCAAGGGGAACTTGATAACATTTATTGAACTTTTAAATACCAGGCATTGAGTTGAGTATGTTTTTTCCATACTTTCACCTTATTTAATCCCCCAAATAAGCTTGTTATGTGTGTACTACTATGGTATTCCCCCTTAAGAATGAGGAAACTGGCTGGTGTGTCACTGAGTGACTTACTCAAAGTCTTAAAGCCAGTTGACAGTGAAGCCAGGATTCCTATCCAGGCAGGAAAGTTGTGGCTGAGCAGGGAATGGTCAGGGAGCTGGAGATGGGAAGCACAGAGGACAGAGGTGTTCTGGAAACTCTCCCAATTCTTTTGGGCACTCTGCTCCTTTGTCCCACCTGATTCCCACCCAAAAGCCCCCATCTTCTCTGCACTGATGCCTTCAGTTGAGACTGTCTAAGAGATGGCTGCTGCATCTCAGTCTCCACTGTCCCTATCCTGGGTCTGCCTGACTACCCCTCACACTGAACTCTGTGTGGCTGGTCTGCCTCTGGTTTGACACAGAGTTCTGGTCCAAGCATCATGTCCTATTTCTTTATTTTCTCTGTGTGTGTGTGTGTGTGTGTGTGTGTTTGGAGACAGAACCTCAAGCTATCCCCCCGGGTAGAGTGCCGTGGCATCACAGCTCACAGCAACCTCCGACTCCCGGGCTCAAGCGAGTCTCCTGCCTCAGCCTCCCAAGTAGCTGGGACCACAGGCACCCGCCACAACACCCAGCTATTTTTTGGTTGCAGCTGTCACTGTTGTTTTGGCGGGCCCGGGTGGGATTCAAACCCGCCACCTTAGGTGTATATGGTGCCTTAGCCACTTAAGCCACAGGCGCGGAGCCTGTGTGTGTGTTTTTGAAGTGTTTATTTGGGCAGGGTGAGAAGGCCTTGCATGTAGAAGGTGTTAGGCCTCTTGATGGTGACATGTGGCTTGAGTTGGCCAAGCAGAACCTGGTAGGGCAGTGGGAACTTGACCTTGAAGTCATGAAGGTGGGTGACTGTGGGCCTGTAGTACTTGCTGGCAGCAGTCTCCTCCACCTTCAGGATCTGGGCCAAGTGGACTCAGGTACTTGTGCCTGGGTATGTAGAAAAGGAGAGAGGAGGTTACTGCCCTGGATGGGATCTGGGCAAACCTCCATCCAATGCCTTCCTGGTGGCCTGGCACAATTTGTCAGGCACAGCAATTATCTGGCAACCCTGACTTGGGGCTGAATGGGGAACTGGGTGGCTGAAACCTCTGGCTCCAGCAAGCCCTGACCTCCAAATTCACTTTGAGGGGCATGACCTCAGCTCCCCAAGGGGGTTTGCTGTTAGCACCCCTGTTTAAACAACTGCTACAAGAAACAGCAATTCTTGGGTTTGGGATTTAGGTGCTACATGTCCTCTTTTTTGTTACTGTTGTTTAAGGGGCAGGGCTGTCCTGTATTCCCCAGGCTAGAGTGTAGTGGCTGTTCACAGGCACAATTATAGTGCACTATGGCCTTGAACTCCTGGCTTCCAGTGATCCTCCCACTTTAGTCTCCCAAGTAGCTGGGACTACAGATACGCACTGCATCCCCATGCTGGGTTTGTGTTTTCACTATCTGGCCCCACCTGCCTCTCTGGATGGGTCTTTCTTTTTTCGTTTTTTGAAACAGAGTCTCACTATGTCGCCCTTGGTAGAGCGCCATGGTGTCATAGCTCACAGCAACCTCAAACTCTTGGGTGATCCTCTTGTCTCAGCCTCCCAAGTAGCTGGGACTACAGGTGCCTGCCACAACACCCAGCTATTTTTAGAGATGGGGTCTTGCTCTTATTCTGGTTGGTCTCAAACTCCTGAACTCAAGCAATCCACCTGCCTCAGCCTCCCAGAGTGCTAGGATTACAGGCATGAGCCACTGTGGCTGGCCCTGGCTGGGTCTTCGTTGGGAACTATGCATGCTCCAGCTGTGCCACACCTCTTATGGCTCCCAACAAGCCTGCACTTCCACAGTGTTGTCCCCTCTGCTCTGAATGGCTCTCCTTCCCATCACTTTTGGCTCAGACTCATTACCTTCCTTCTCCTCAGTGGTCTCATAGAACCTGGTGCACCCATCTCTTCTGGCAGTCATCGCACTGAACGGTAATTATATGTTTCTGTGTTTGCTGCTCTGCTACAAAGTGGTGGTCTCCTGGAGGACAGGAATGTGCTTTATGTACCTGGTGCCAGTTATAGGTAGGTGCTCCATAGATGTGAGTGAGTGAGTGTGTGTGGGGGGGTTAATCTCAGCCTGAGAGGAGCTCCCCACCTGCACCATCCTGGAGCAATCTGCAGAGGGCAGTCCCACACCACACGTGGCTTCTCTAGACTCTGCCCAGGTGTTTTTCTTCTACCATACGCAGCTCAGATAGGTAGATAGGTGGATGAGTGGTGGATGGATGGATGGATGGATGGACGAACCAGTGGGTAGTTGGATGGATAGGTAGAATGGGCATATTGCACTTGGGTTCTGGAGTTGACAAACTGTGGGACCTGGAAATCCAATCAAACTAACTTAGGCACTGGCCCTGCTGGCTCATCCCTTAGACACAGTGGCTTAGGGCCAAGGGACTATGACTGAAAACTGGAAAAACATTGTTTTCAAAGTGAAAGAGAAAGAGGAATATTGCAAAATGGAATCAGATAAAGATTGAAATAAGTGGCTACAAAGCAAAATATTAACCAATCAATTGCAACTCAACTTATATATAATTTATGTATAAATTGCACTTCATGTGGGATGTGAGTGCATTTTAATATTTGTGACATGATGTAGCCACTCAGAAAGTGTCGAGGACTCTTGACATCCTTGGAAAGGGCCTTTGAGGGAGTGGGAGTGTTAAATTGAGCCCCAGACTCCCCAGCAGGGGGCTCTGGGCACTGCTCTTTTTAAGCTCAGGCGTCCTAGAGCCCGACACTGAAGGTCCAGCCCCTCTCTTCCTGCTGAGGACTCTGGAACTGAGTTGGTAGGACAACATTCAGGAACACAAGCTGCCCACAGCCACCATCTTTCCTGATCTTTAGGTAGCGTGGGAAAGGGGTGATGTGTCATTCAGTTAAGTTCTTACACAGGAGAGATATTGAGTAGGAAGAGGCTCTGGCTCTTAATTCTTGGCTGGGTGGGGGATGGAAAGGACAGGGGACAAGAACAGAACCAATTGTCTCCGAATTCAATTCTGAATCAGTCAGGGACTTTACAGTGCTGGGCAGTGGCCAGGGAGGTTTCTGGGAAGGGGCAGCATTTGAGTGGCAAGTCAGATGAGGCAGTGTCCAGCTGTCAGTAGGTGGAGCATCCTGAAAGCAGTAGAGAAGGAAGAAGGGAAGCCAATGGCAAGCTATCCAAGCTTTGCAGAATGCCTGGGGTGCTACTGCCTATGGGGGGAACATGAAGAGAACCCAACCACGGATGTCCATAGTGTGTTTCTCCACTGTTCCTCAGTAGGAGTTCAGTGCTGAGTTCCTATCAGTACCCACTGACAGGCATTATATTTCCCTAAAAGGAATTCTGACAGCTGGACATGGTGCCTCATGCCTGTAGTCCCAGGGACTAGTGAAGCTGAGGTGGGAGGATTGAGACCAGCCTCACTGGGCAATATAGTGAGAACCCTGTCTCTTTACAAAAAAAAAAAAAAGGAAAGAAATTTTTCTTTTCTTTCTTTTTTTTTTTTCAGTTTGGCGGGGCTGGGTTTGAACCAGCCACCCTCAGTATATGGGTCTGGCGCCCTACTCACTGAGCCACAGGCACCACCCAGAAATTTTTCTTGAAGTGTTTTATTTATTTGTTTATTTTTGAGACAGAGTCTCACTCTGTAACTCAAAGTAGGGTACCATGGTGTCACAGCTCACAACAACCTCAAACTCCTGGGCTTAAGAGATTCTCTTGCCTCAGCCTACTGAGTAGCTGGGACTACAGGTGCCCACCACAGTGCCCAGCTAGGTTTACTATTTTTACTAGAGATGCGGTCTCACTTTTGCTCAGGCTGGTCTTAAACTCCTAACCTCAAGCAATCTACCCAATTTAGCCTCCCAGAATGCTGGGATTACAGGCATGAGCCACCTCTCCAGCCCTGTTAAAGTGTTTTTAAAGTATCAGGGCAGCGCCTGTGACTCAGTAGGGTGCCGGCCCCATATACCGAGGGTGGTGGGTTCGAACCCAGCCCCGGCCAAACTGCAACAATAGCCAGGTGTTGTGGTGGGTGCCTGTAGTCCCAGCTACGTGGGAGGCTGAGGCAAGAGAATTGCCTAAGCCTAGGAGTTGGTGGTTGCTGTGAGCTGTGACGCCACAGCCCTCTACCGAGGGCAATAAAGTGAGACTCTGTCTCTAAAAAAAAAAAAAAAGTTTTTTTAAAGTAGCAAATACGATTCCTTTTCCCTTGTGACCAGGGCCACAGATATGCCAGAATAGAGTATAGGCAGTCGTCTAGGTAGGATTAGGAACCACTTTGTTAAAAAGCATATGAGCAAGATGGCTGCATAGGGGAAACAGCTGGTAAAGACTTGGATAGAGATTAAGCGATGGAAAAGAAAACTTTCATGGCTGTGGTCCCTGATGTAAATCTATTCAGGGTCTTTGAGACCATTCCTAGGTTTCCTGAATCAAAGGGAGATATAAGGGCAGGTTTATGGAAGGAGAATAATCCCATTTGGAGAAAGGAAAGCTGGAAGGGAACACAGAGGATTTGTAGTTTAGTGTGTGGGCTCTGAAGCTGGACTGCTTGAGTTCAGATCCCAACTCTGTCACTGTATGACCTTAGGTATATTCACTCATTACATGTCGGTGTCTCATCTGTAAAATGGGTTTATTAATAGTACTTTTAGTTATATTAAAATGTTAATGATTAGGGCAGTGCCTATGGCTCAAAGGAGTAGGGTGCTGGCCCCATATGCTGGAGGTGGCAGGTTCAAACCCAGCCCCAGCCAAAAACTGCAAAAAAAAAAGTTAATGATTAATATTTTTGTAGGGATTAAAATGATCAAATATAAAGTACTTCATACAGTGCTTACCATATAAGAGCTCAGTGCCTATTACCTCATCCAAATAAAAAGGAGATACTACACTTAAAATTTTGTTAAGGGCTGGGTATGGTGGCTCATGCCTATAATCCTAGCACTCTGGGAGGCTGAGTTAGGTGGATTGCCTGAACTCAGGAGTTCAAGATCAGCCTGAGTGGCTGGGCATGGTGGCCCACTCCTGTAATTCTAGCACTCTGGGAGGCTGAGGTGGGTGGATTGCTTAAGCTCATGAGCTCAAGACCAGCCTGAGCAAAAGGCAAGACTCCCGTCTCTACTAAAAATAGAAAAAAACTGAGGCAAGAGAATCACTTGAGCCCAGGAGTTGGAGGTTGCTGTGAGCTATGATGGCATAGCACTTTACACAGGGTAACAGCTTGAGACTCTGTCTCAAAAAAACAACAGGCAAAATAAAACAACAACAAAAAAAAGATCAGCCTGAGCAAGAGCAAGACCTTCTCTTTACTAAAAACAGAAAAACTACCCAAGTGTTGTGTCGGGTCCCCGTAGTCCCAGCTACTTGGGAGGCTGAGGCAGGAGAATCACTTGAGCCCAAGAGTTTAAGGTTGCTGTGAGCTATGAGGCCACAGTACTCTAGCCTGGGGCAACAGAGTGAGACTCTGTCTCAAAAAAAATTAATTAAAATTTTGTTAAGGGAGCTGGGCGTTGTGGTGGGCGCCTGTAGTCCCAGCTACTTGGGAGGCTGAGGCAAGAGAATCGCCTAAGCCTAAGAGCTGGAGGTTGCTGTGAACTGTGACACTAAGGCACTCTACTGAGGGTGACAAAGTGAGATGCTATCTCTAAAAAAAAAAATAATAATTTTTTTGTTAAGAGTTTACATCTCAGCTCGGCGCCTGTAGCTCAACCCGCTAAGGCGCCAGCCACGTACACCTAAGGTGGCGGGTTCGAATTCAGCCCGGACCCGCCAAACAGCAATGACGGCTGCAACCAAAAAAAAAAAAAA